CCTACAGTCTACACATTCGTTCATTCAGAAACTATGAGAAAAGTACAAACACCTACTTTTTCGGTTAAGTTTTGGAAAGTAGGTGTTTGTACTTTTCTCATAGTTTCTGAATGAACGAATGTGTAGACTGTAGGAACATCTCAGAATCTTTAGCACACTTTTCTCTTTAATCTGTGATATTCTAGATCTCTAGGCGTCTCGTTACTCAAACATTATAAGAAAAACAAAATGCAAAAAAATCGTTACGGAATTTCACTCCGGTAACAGAGATGGCTGACCAGAGCGTGTTCAAACTTACCTGGAACTGTTCGTTAAAAATCCATATCGATATATTTAGATGTCGTTCTTCACAAAAATAAATGTTGCCACTAAGCTCGGCATAGTCGATTCTCTATATTCTATGGCATTTCCAGATTTCCAGAGGTGTCTGCTCGGAGACAGAGGCGTGCTCGGGAAAAGCGAGCCATTTCCAAACGACGATAGCTGGAGAGCTGGAACTTGCATAATTTTGTAGAGTAACGTTTGGACTACCTACCCATACAAAAAATTTACTAACGCTGTATCTTAATCTTCTAAAAACGGTGCTCGTTTTCCAAAGATCCTCCGGAAAATCGGCTTTAGAAACTTTCCCGAAATTTGTTTGTGCTTACGAAGCATAAAGTTGTCTTTTTTATGTCTAAGAGTGAAAGTCACACATTTTTATCTACTTCCGTTCAGGAGTTATTCAAGTTACAACCGACTCCATCCTTCATTGAAATAGAGAGTAGTTGTACACTGTTTTATAGTGGTAATATTTCTTACCCGCTGCAGCTAGTATTGAAGCGGGTTTGTCCAGTTGCAGCTAGCTGCATCCGCTAAATTTTACTCTTCTAGCTACAGTCAATGGAGAAGCGGGCGCTTCTTCAGCAAGTGCAGCTAGCTTAATTCTTATGAAATTTCATGCTTGGGCAAACATACTTAACAGTATATTCCGCAGGACTCAAGGTGAAGTGATCAAACTAAAGTAAAACATAATTTTATTGCTGAAAAACCAAGGATGATTATACTGATCTTTGATTTATCGAACAACTTAGAATGAAAAGCAAAAGTCGTGAGAACGTAGTAAGACCGGCACCATGATGCTAGAGAATTATTCGCTATCGTGACACGACTTCGAGAAAATCTAAGATTCGTGAAGCAACTTTGATTTATGCTTTCAAAGAAAAATGAGATTTCCCCTGGCGAAAACAGCTTAAAAAGAGCGAGCGGAAACACATCAAAGTCTGCTGACCGTCTTACAGCATGCAAGAAACGTTTCTAAATCTTATCCTGGCTGAGCCTTACCAAATCCTTTTTCCTATTTACGCCATTAATTTTACTACACTGAGTTCATCTTTGTATTAAGAACACAGACTCGTTGTCTATGAGGCAGCCAAGCTCGTGTAGAGTCACATCAAGGCATTCAGCTATACTGTTTTAGTACCATTGTCGAGAGAGAGAGAGTTTTAAAGCTACACTCTCACAGACGACGCAGTTGTGGAGGAGGTTTTTTTTCGAAAAAATTATTAGTGATTTCAGAAATCACTCTATTTTATTCTGTAGAGATGATTCAACTAGCTCTCTGTTTTTCTCTTTTCTTTCTCTTTGTTTTTAAAGGAGAATAAAAGATTAAGTGTCTATCATCTCATATTTCTCAAAGGAAAAGAAATTCTGTTCTCGTTGTGGTATTAATTGCACTTTCTAGCAACAGAACACACACTATTACTTCTTTCAACTGCACACACTGGTTCTTTCTTTCACTAGTAAGTTAGTTCTGGCATTTCTCATCAGTCATAACATCATATAAGAGTCTCTGACCTAACGTCATTTCAACTATGATATCAAGACTCCTGTCATCCATCAATCTCTTTATCAGTCTTCTACAGATGAAAGTAAGTAATTTGCTACATTTTGTTCACTTCATAAGGTGCAGCTATATGATTACAAAAGTTATTAAACAGCTTCATTATCGTGTCCCAGGCATCTGTTAGTCGGCTTGTCCAGCTAACTCAAGACGTCGTTGATTAAGTTTTTGAAAAAATTATTTTAGGGTAGAACTGAAAGGAGCATATCACTAGATGTAGTTTTTGGTGCTAATTACGAATCTCACATTATTTTTTTTAGAAAGTTAAATCTTGGGACGAAAAATTCAGTTTTATATTTTTGAACACTGTATTTTCAATTTCCTCACGCATTAGAAAATTAGGTACTTTTGCCGCGCAGCACCAAATTAGGTAAAAATTGGACGCTATGTGCAAAATTTTTCGGTGAATCCGACAGCGGATTCCTTATAATTATACTTTGGCTTCTTTTCTGGCGTCGACATAACCTACGTGGTTTTTGCCTAAATTTTATTTTTCTCATTGGCGCCTTTTTTTTCAACCAATGAGAAAAATAAAATTTAGGCAAAAACCACGTAGGTTATGTCGACGCCAGAAAAGAAGCCAAAGTATAATTATAAGGAATCCGCTGTCGGATTCACCGAAAAATTTTGCACATAGCGCCCAATTTTTACCTAATTTGGTGCTGTGCGGCAAAAGTACCTAATTTTCTAATGTAAAGACTTTTCCTAATAAAAATGGAAGGCCACACTAATAGATTGAGAATTCGCTTCTCTACAAGATGGTATGTTTCTTTTGAAGTTTAAACCCAAACAAGTTTTTTAATAAAGCTTTAAGATTCTCACACACTTCTAAGGAAGTGAAAACATTTTTTCAGCCCTTTGAGCAGTGTTTAGCGCTACAAACTTTGTTGGGAAAAACGTGTATCACAGCGTCACGACGATAAAACACAATTATTGAAGGATGGAAAGCTCATTGGAAAGATTCTTCTTTAGCAATCAGTAGTTCGTTTACTGCTCTACAAACTTTGCTAGAGGCGGTTTTTATTAGCTCTTCTAAATTCGCATCAAATTAGCTTTTAATGAGAAGAACTTCGAATTTAGGACCTTATTTTGTCACAGCGACACGCGCCGAAAAACGGTTTTAAAAGTTCGAGTGTTTAACCACATACCTTCATTTTTATACCAAAAGTAGAGTATGGCGAGCTGCGTCGAATGGCGCAGAGACGAAGTTTCTCGCTCGCACACTTTTTGAGAAAAGCTCAAATTACTGTGTCAAAAATGCCACAGCGTCGCGTTTGGCCAAGTCGTAGTAGATAAATTAACACAACTTTGAAGAAATCTATTCTTTTGTGGGCATTATTTAACAAAAGTAGACGCAAAAGTAACCAAGTTTCCGAAGATTACCTTCAGGAGGATGTATTTTCACAAAAATTCTGACTATCGGTATAACATTCTTCTGTTGTCAAGCAGACAGGTGTACACCAGCTGCACACGTTTATTTTCGCTTGTCTTGACTCTTTAGACATCATGAAAATACACAACCACGAAATTATAGTTCACAAACTATTCAGAGAAACTCGTGTACAAGAAACTGCGAAAATGAAGTAAGTAAATGATATTTACAGCGAGTTCTGAAAGAAGAGCAGGGAGAAAAGAAGTAAGCAGAGATAGCTTTGTGTTTGAACTTTTGGACATTTTGTCCTTTTTTCTAGTGTCAGTACAGTTGAAACTGATCAACGTCTAGCTGCAGTGGAAACGAAGAAGTTCAATAAACGCAAGAAGAAAGAAACCCAGGAACATCTCCATCATCTTCAGCAGGAACAGTATCACCGTTACGGTCACACTCGTTTCGAATGGGTTCAACTCGTCTCCACACTTGCCGTCCCGATCGCGATCGGCATCTTTACCGTTATGAGCAGTTTTCAACAGATAAATCAAAGTAAAAATCAATTCGATGTACAACTGCGTATTGCAGCGGAAAACAGACAGAAGGATTTGGAGATTGCGGTGGAAAACCGACAGAAGGATCTTAGGATTGCTTCTGAGAATCGCCAGAAGGATTTACGGATTGCAGCGGAGAATAGAAAGAAAGATTTGAAGATAGCAGCTGTACAGTTAAGGATTGCCAGTGAGAACAGGCAGAAGGACATTAGGATTGCGAATGAGACGAGGCTGAATGATTTGCACATTGCAGCCGAGAACCGTCGAAAGGATATAGAGATTGCCGAGGAAAATCGTCGTAAAGATCTGACAATAGCGGAGCTGCAAATTAATATAGCAGCTGATAATCGACAAAAGGACATACGTATTGCTAACGAAACACGGCAGAATGATTTATTAATTGCAGCGGAGAATCGACGAAAGGACATTGAAATAGCGGCGGAAAATCGAAGAAAAGATGTGAAAATTGCCGAAGTTCAGATCGACATTGCTGCGGAGAACCGACAGAAAGATTTGAGAATTGCTAATGAAACGAGAATGAATGATTTACATATCGCTGCTGAAAACCGTCGAAAAGACATCGAGATTGCCGAGGAAAATCGTCGCAAAGATCTCACAATAGCTGAAGTTCAGATCAACATTGCGGCCGATAATAGACAAAAGGACACACGTATTGCCAATGAAACACGTCAGAACGACCTGCTCATCGCATCCGAAAACCGTCGGAAAGACATTGCAATTGCAATCGAGAATCGACGTAAAGACTTCATTATTGCCGAAGAAAATCGTCGTAAGGACAGGGAAGTGGCCGAAGACCAACAGAAGCACAGTATTATCACGGAATATCAAGATTTTCTCGGCGAATTACTTTTGAAAGAAGGTATCCATCTGAACAATACGAACAAGGAAGCAGCACGTTTTGTCGTACGGTTCAAGACGTTGATAGCCTTCAGACAGCTTGATCCTAAACGGAAATCCTTGCTCTTCAAATCACTCTACGAAGGTAACTTAGCTGGACGCTTAGATAAGGAAATAATTATCGATCTCTCGTCAGTTGATCTATCTAACATTGACTTTGCCTCCTCACGTGAAATAATCGTTACCACACCGCCGTCATCTCACCCGTACGAGTCGATGAACTTCAGTTACACCGACCTAAAGAATGCCTCCTTCAATAGTGTCTCCTTCTTCAACGTCAGTTTCGACAAGGCAATGATGGACGATGTCATCATGATCTCTACGCTCACTACCCTGATCTCCTTTCAAGTTACATCGTTAGTACGTGCGAAATTTCTCTATTCCCACTATATTAACGTCAATTTCTATAAAGCAAACCTCGCTCAAACACATTTCGAACAGTTCGAATGTCAGCAATGTTCGTTTCTTCACAGTTCCCTTGACAATAGTCGGATTCTAAACTCTAAATTTCATCTGTCGAACTTTGATCACGCGGAAATGAATGGTTGTCAGTTGACTGAAAGTGAATTCGGCCCGTATTTAAATATGACAAACGTCTCGATGATCAACTCAGTTATTCACAACAGTACGTTCATCGATGTCAATCTGCAAAGGTGTACAATGTACGGTAGTTCATTGATGAATGCAAAATTCGTACGTGTTAACTTTTTGGGATGCAAGGGATTGGCCGATAAACAGCTCAGAGAAGCCATGGTAGTAACAGAGTCAATTTTACCAAACGGAACGCGTTACTCTAGTACATGAGACAGAACTCGTTTTTAATGTCATTAAAATGACAAAACAAGGTAGACTGTCAGTATTTTAAAATTCATCTATAATTGAGTTGGCGCTGATCCACGAGCACGATTCGTCTTATTAAGAAACGTTCGATCTAGTTCTAGCACAGATGGTCGGCATCTTCTTCAGTCTCTAACTTTAACACACTTAGCTCTGCCCACTTAGTTCTGCAGAGCAAGAGTTGCTGACATGACAAGGCGAATCGAAAGTTTGTGCCGTGAACTTCTTAGTCTTAGAACATGGGACTCTGTAACATTGTTTGGTAATGAGTGATGTGTGCTCATCATGACATTTTTGCCTTCAATATCTCATGAAAAGATCATTCACTTGTCATGCGAAGTTAGACTCCAATTTATCTATGCATTTTTCTAGAGGTCAATAAGGAAAAGATGTTTCGCTCTAAAAAAATAATGCTCCTACAAAATAAGCAGACAGTTACGACAGTCCAACAGATGTTCTTTGAAGAGTCACAAGGAAACCAACAACTGAGTAAGGGTGTGTTATATGATATCAGTCTGTTGTCACTTTCTGATGATTAATGACGGCTTATAACTTCTCAGTTTTGTCAAATGCGGTTCTATTCAACATAGGAGAATCTCAGATCATCTGAAAATATCGTTTATGCATGAGTACGTCAGTATAAAAAAAAACAAGACAAAGGTTTATTTAATCAGAAAAAAGCTAGTAGGTTGACGACGCGGATTTTGTTTGATTCGACTCTTGATTCGACCCTTTCTCTAAGATAAGATCAAAATCTTTTCTCGAAAGTCAAGAGTAGTAACTATTCAAAAGATTAACAACTTTCACGAACAGTTATTCCTCCCGAGCGGCGTTGAAAGGCGTCTAGCACCGACGCACATATGGATGTCTTTATTTAACTCTCACCGTATCCAACTCAATATCTTATTTTAACAAACATATATTAATTCTGTCTGAACTTCGGCTTTCTCATACAACCAACGCATTAAAAATTATCGTGTAAATTTTTCGTTGTCGGGCGGTGGTTCTTCCAAAACGCATTCAGTTTTATTTATGCAAAATTTGTCATCCACACGCGAGTTTTCATCATCAACGGAAGACTAGCGCAATAAAAATCTCTCCAAGTGTCATGCATGGCACAGCCCGACTTGATTACTGTTTCTTCTATAATAAAGTTTAAATCAAAAAACTCCCATACAATCGCACGCGTCTGGCTGCATTTTACAATGAGACGCCTTCAAACGCGTTTGTCGTAGTTCGGCGTCTACGAACATGCGAATGATACGCGTCCGCTTCTGCTGTGGCGTTTCGTCCAGTTTCATTCTACTTCACTGAGATTTTGGACCCGTTCTCACGCGACTGAAGAAGCAATCGCGTTTTTCCGTTTATGCAAACGTATCACGGCAAGTTACTACGGGCTTACATACTTGAATCGATGAAGCGCATTTCAAAAACCTGATCAGACGTTCCAGGATGCATTTCGATCACGGCCCAGAGCCAAACGTTTTTAGACACAACGAGCTACACAAACGAGTTTAAACGCAGCTAGAATGCATTTGGTGGTTACATAGGTAGGGTATGAAAAGTCATACCCTTGCAGGACCGTAGTCCATATTTTAAAAGTAAGCCGTAAATTTGTTCACAAAAATGCCTGGCTTATAAACTGAGACTGAAAACGTTTTTACAGGGAGATTCTAGGGAAATGTGCGATGTTTTCTTTCAATCTTTGAATGATAACAAGGATTGAAAACTATCACGTGATCTTGTCCGAAGTTCTTTCTAACAATAGCAGTACAGTAGAGTCCTGCAAACAGCGGTTCACTGAACCGCGGTTCAGTTTGGTTCGGTTGCGGGTTTAAGACAAAACTATGGTTTAAATGACGGGTTTATGGCCTAGCTGCATTACAGTCTCATTGCTGCTAACTGACTGCCGTGTGTCTTCCACTCTCTGCTTATGAGTACCCGGAAGTCACTTATATTGCAAATCCAACTGAACCGCTCTCTCCTGACGATAATCAGTTTAATACTTGACATATTGGTGTTGGCGTAGAAATTTTACTTTGAATAGGTGCTACAGCAAGAGATGAAATTGTCGAACCAGAATTGTGCTCTTCCTGCGGAATCTCAAGCTGAATTGGAGATAGCAGACAGCAGAGGTTACATTTCAGCCTAAATGTGTTTCGACTTCAAAAAAGCGGTGCGAAGAGTACTTGAAAATGTTAAACATGGATGAAGGCGTAACCCATATATTCGATTCTTTTGCATTTCGGCGAACAACAATGACGAACAGCACACTCCTGGACCTCTGGAGTAACAAGGAGTACGAAAGAGTGCAAGAAGTACACAAAATATAGGAGTCCTGTTTCTCGGTTGGCAAAAAATCAGAGGCAAAAAAAAGTAAATTAAAGTAAGTTCTGTGATGTAATAATTAGGCAAAACGATCTTATTTTTATAAAAGCTAGATCACCATATTATTCGCTTACAAAATGTGCAGATACAATTTAAATGATGCTGAAAAGATAAAAACGAATAGAGAGAATAAAAGAAAAGTAATCTAGTGATGTTTGTTGATAACAGTAGATAAACAGAACAATCCTTGTTGTTTTAATGTCAATAATCGCTGCACAAAAAAAGGGTATGTGAAAGGAAAAGCGTTTTCGATGGTTCGAAAATCCACTCGAAAGATAGTCTCGAAAATCCAAAAGGGTTTCAGATAGTAACATTTTTAAAAATCATTTATAAGTTTCCGAGAATACTCTTTTCTTTAGAGTGTAAGAGCCCTGGGCATAAAAAGAGAAGATAAGTGTCGAATGCAACAAAAGAAACGAAGACAAGGGACTACATAGTGTCCGAACAGCACCTGATCAGTTCTATGACCAGAACCAATTCTAAACAAAATCTGAATACTTTATTATCCTCCTACATCGTTTTACAAAGATAACGACTGGAGATAACGTTGGACTTTACCTTTATTCTCTACCATATAGCTGCTCCTCGTTCAATGTCCATATGCCTATTTTATAAAGTTGACTTTTCCTATTAATTAGAACAACACTACGTAGAGTCACTGGCATTGACTTTCGTTACGAGCAACGACACAGCGTCTTAACTATATAGTCTTTAAGGATACCGTGTCCGCTTTCTTCAGCTTTGTTCAAAGAGATAAAATAATATTTAAAGACAAATATTTGAGGTGCGAAACATCTTGATCGTAAGCTTCAAAATGAATACAGGGTGATCCAAAAGTCTCGGTCAAAGAAAAAAATTCGTTCTTCTCTATCGCACATCCAAAAAGGCCCAAAATTGGATGTCTTATGCCTTCTGACTAGACAAATATTACCCTAAATTTTTGGATCTCTAGCCCTAGTGATTTGGGCGATACATAGGTTTTTACGATAGTGAAATTTATAGGTTTTTACGATAGTGAAATTTATCTATGATGTGACGAATCCTAATTTTTCTCTGATAGAATGCAAGAGAACTTGCGAAAACATCATTTCGTCGTAGGTGGTTGATATTCAAATAGATCTATTAATAAAACCATCGGTGAGCATTGAACTTCTCGGCATGACTGGTTCGTGCTCAAGTTTACTTCTTTCACATAGTCTAATTTTTATAGTTTTAAACGTGAGACCATAAGGTAATATGTTCTTTTTTTCACAGCTCAAATTTCGAATGATAAAAAACATATTTAAAATAATGAATATAGTCAAAATAATAAAACAAGATAAAAAGTTTCTTTGTATAGTATTCTCATTTATCAAAAACAACATGACTCTTTTATTCAACTAAAATACATGATGAACTACTGTCAATTACCAATAACTATCATCATCGTTGAAGCTCAATAAAGAATGGCTTAGTATTATCAATGACTAAAAGTTGACAATGTCTCCATTAGACTGAGCTTGTAACGCTGAATGCGATTGTCGAGATGGCACCGATAAAGAAGGTCTATTATCAGTAGTCACTATATTAGTTAGTCCCGATTAAATTAGTTTTACATAACTCTAAAGACATAACGACGCAGAATTAAGACTACCGTGACTCAAAGAGAAATCCCGAAAGTCATGTTAGTCAAGAACTCCTCTTAAGAAATCATTCCGCTTGTTAATTAGCAGAAAAAGTACATCTATGTCTCATATTCAGCTTCGTTATTGACATCTCTGTATCTAATAGGGTAGGCTATACCCTTTTCTAAGACATATCTCGGCGTATAGTATATCTTGTGTACTTCAAACTGACATAGAAAAAGGACAGGGGTACATTCTAGTTAGTTTTATTTTAATCTGTCAAGTTGACAGAATATAGAGTAATTTCATAGTGAGCGCAGATAACATTTGGATCGAAAGAAAAACAAATTTCAAAGTTAGAAGCAATAAAGTCACATGCCCTAATTTCGACACTAAATTTTTTAGATTTTGTATTTCGTGTTATCAGTTGTATTAATTGAGATTATAAAATTGAAGTCTCAAATTTTTTCTTTCCTGTCCTTTCCTAAATTCGACAAGCCACGTATTTTTTCCTCCTAATTTTGACACTCTCATACAAATACATGGAGTTTTTACATCTGCGTCAAAAAAAAGTTTTTTTGGCTTACCAAGTTGATCAAAACCTTCTCATTTTTATATAGAAATACTCAGAAGACTATGGCGAATCAAACTATATATTTTGTTTTGAAAAGAGCACATGTTCTCATGTTAAGTACAAAATTTAAACACATGTTTGCAACAAAATCTGTTCTCAAAAGTTAAAGTCATGTCGTACTAACCATATGTTTTGAAATACATTTCTGACAATAACTCAGTCAACTTTGAGACTCATGAAAATCAAGGTTTTCTAGAGAACCTCGTAAAGATCAAGGTTGAAATCAAGGTTTTCTAGAGAACCTCGTAAAGATCAAGGTTGAAATCAATGTTTTCTGCACCGCTTGGATGGAGTTAGAATCTTCTAGGTAAACGTAGGACGCTAAAACATTACTGTATAATCTGCAGATATGGTAAATCTTCACGAGATTCTCTAGAAAACCTTGATTTTCATTAGTCTCAAAAAGTTATATAAAAAGTTTTACTCTATCTTAATAATTAACTGAGAAAAACACGAAATACAAAACCTAAAAAATTTAGTGTCAAAATTAGGGCATGTGACATCGTATATCTCAAATATCAACATTATATCGTTCTTTTTCGTTCTCTGCTTGTATCTGGAACAAAATCTCTGGTTCACTCTCTATCATTTCTCACTTTTATTTTTTCATTTCTGTGGATCGATTCATATAGGAATAATGGATCTATCGAAATATAGCCAAAGCTTAAAGCAAATAGCATTATGACGGCATCCCATATATGGACTAGATCGACATATTATGTGAGTTTTATTAGGATCTGTGACAGTCGTTGAACATCGGTCTGATGTGATCTGCTGTTTTTCTCGTGCAATGGCTCTTAAGTGTTTAACCAGTGTGCTGTCGGGATAAGTCTGTATCGCTCTTTCTACGATCTGTCAGGCAGAAATATCAAAATAAGTGAAAAGGGTGTGCGGTATGATCAAAACTGAGAAATACTTAATTTCCATCGTCATTTCACTTGAAAATTTTGTCATTATTATAGCTTTATGTTACGAGTATAAACAGAATATTGTGCGTAACAACTTCGACCTAATAATGTTCGCACGTCCGAACGAAGTACAAATAAATTCAACAGAAAGTTGCAAGAATATTTTATGTTATGTATATGTGACCATATTTTAGAGTTTTGATAATTTATTTTTATTATTTGGTTTGTTTACGAAAAAAAGATGGTGATATCCGAATACAGTAAAAATCATTTTTCTCAATTAAAACGTCTTTTCTTAAAAACTTTTAAGAAAAATCTTTAAAATTTAATCATATTAAGCGTAAATTACAGTACACTCTTAAGAAGACAGTTTGAAGCATCAGACTATGTGTTTATCTCGAAATTAACTAGGTTTTACTTTGAGAGAATGCCGCTGATATGTTTTACATCGGAGTTAGTTCGTACGGGGCATCAGCGCGTTGAAACTTGTTGACTACAAATCTGAACAGTGGTACAAATACCAGTTTGAATATGACAAACAGTAGACCAAATAGTTCGAGACAAACGATGGTGAATAAGATACTGTGAAATACGACTTCGGCTTGTTTGGCGATAGGCGATTGGGTGTTAATTACATAATATGCTTTTTCACTGAGTGAAACGGTTAACAATGTTTGAGAGCGTGTATTACCAAAGTATTGTGTTTCAGTGAGGAACAGCTGGTCGGAAACGTAAGAAAATGTTGGAATCCACAGTGCACTGAATATTGTTTTGTCACTTTCGCTTAGGGGCTCCGTATCATTTATAAGTCGAATAAGTTGTAACTGAAGGCTCGGATTTTGTGATAATGTTCGATTCTGCACCATATAACCTTGCATAAAATTCAACTCTTGCACTGTATATTCCTCATTACTCGCTGCTGGCCCTGAGAGTCCGACACGCATACCACCGATCGTTCGTGTGCCATTCAAACTCAGTTGAATGGCGATTGTGTGCAGAGGAAGTGCAACAGCGACTGATAGTATGGCTGAATGCTGAGAACAGTTTTGAGACGGAATCACACTGACAACAGTGCCGACTGTTTGCTGAATGATCAGATCACTACAGTGAAAATACGTGTTCACAAAATCGACATTAAGCATGTATGCTTGTGCGTCGAGCATGTCGAACAATGGTTGTATTTCATCGCTCAATGGAATGCCCAACAGTTGCATTTGAGTCGAGAATTTAGAATTGCGTAAATTTGTATTGCAAGCAAATGCCGAATCTGCGGACGTTTCGATGGGATATTGTTTTAAATAAAGTGTGCTGAAAGCGTATGCGAATGATACCAGAACTAGAACCGAAAACGACACTATTCCACCTATCCATAATTCGCCTTCGCCAATTAGATCAGTCTGTTTAAACACATATTTAATTGTTTGTCGAGCATCTTTGCATTGCACAAAAAACTTGGATATGCCCATGACGGTAAGCACTAACAGAGCACAAGCAATTATTAACAGCGTCCAAAACAATGGTGATACGAGAAGACAATGTCGTGAAAAGCTCATATTGAACATATTTTGCAGTAAAATATCGTCAAAGAGGGTGCTTTCCGGTGATACTGGATAAGCACGAGCCTGAACGATACTGGTCATAGCAGAACTATCGACATCAGCAACAGATCCAAGCGGACAGAATGACGAGTTACTGCAAGGCACACACTCGACATAATTCTCCCCAGAATTGTATGTATCTGAAGGGCACAACGCACACGGTCTCGCCGATGTTTCGCTGTGGTAGTAGCCGGGCAAACATTTAGCTTCCTTCGAATAAGCAAAGCGGATTTTTGTGCCACAGCCTGTGCTCGTTACCGAATAGTAGCCGATTGTCGTTGGTCGAATCACATACACGTAACCATTGACATCGAGAATCGCCAAGCCAATTGTGTCACTCATGGCAATCGTTACAAAATTCGGCGTCATCGTGGAGCAAAGTGTTTTCCATGTGTTTGGAAATGTAGACGAATATGTGAACGTGCCGTTGGTTATTTGATAAAATTGAATCTGAGATGACAGTAAAAAAGCACACGTAGTACTTGTCATCCACGCAACTGCTTTTACCTCACCAATGTTGTTAATAGTGCTTATTACATTCAATGAAACATTGACTATACTCATCAGAATGACTTTATTTATTGAACCGATGCTCCACAACACATGACCGGCATCATTAATTTTCACCGACATATTACTGACGCCGGTTCCTGAAGTATTATATACATAAACATCCACAACTGTCATACACGTCTCAAAACTGCTTGTGATAATATTGCAAGAATTAAAATGCAGCAAATAGGCAATGGGTCCTGTGAATCCATCAGAACCCACGACTAAAGCAAAATCTTGACTAACGTCAACTGCGTACGGTACAAATGTCTGTTGTGCATACGTTATATTATTTGTCCATTTTTCGGCAAACTGGTTTTCTGGCTCCCATACCAAAATAAAATCATTTGAAAAACCAAAGAGAAATTGTCCGGTCGGGTTTACGGCGAGCAGGTAATGATCCGAATGAGAGGAATTGAATGAGAAGATATTGGGTGGAGTGAAGGTACAATTGTCTAACACGGTTGTCGAACTGATAAATAGAGTTTTGGTATCTTTATCCTTACCAATGTAAGCAAATGATGTGACATTCGCGTATTTTCCAAGTGCTACAGAATAAATGTAAGAGGAATTCTCAAAATCCGAAATACACGTGGATCCACCAGCCGATGCAAATTCTACGCCAAACTGATGACGGTCATTGTAAACTTCAACAATCATGACGTTATTTACAGCTATTTTCGATCCATAAGCGGTAAATTCGCTTACATTTGAAGTAGACTGTGAACATACTAGTGGTAAGACAAGCCATAGGTAGATGATAAACATTTGTGTTGCAGGTGCCTTGCAAAAAAAGTAAAAATAGTTAGTCGATAGAGTAAGGTGTTGTCGTCGCGGATTTAAAGAAAGTCTGATCGCTTTCTAAAAACGATTTTGAGATCGCTAGAAGAAATTGAATAGTCTCGAAATTTATAGTCGAACTTGGTGGCTTCTCGATCGATTATGCGTATCTTACTGATGCGAATCTCATTATAGTGCGATTCTAACTAGTTTAAAAGTTCTAACTAGTTTACGAATGACAACAGGCCAGATTTTTCAAATCTTTCCTTATTCTCTTTCTGCGAAATTGTATCCGTTTATTTAACTTTGTCATTTGATAGTGGAATTAAAAATTCAAAACGTCGACGATAACAAAATAAGAAAGGTCTACATGCAAAGCTGCTGTAAAAGTCATTAGCACTCCCTTCTTTTTTCTCTAGATCTTAACATAGGCGTTACATTCATTTAAGTTTTTCTTTTTTGTAACATCCTAGACATATTCGTGTTAAAATAAACTGATTGATTGACTCTTAGTTTACTACAATTCCGTTATTTAAAATGAAAAGAAGTTGAACAGAAGTCTGACTACAAGCACTACACGATCCGTCTACAACAGCCTAAATGAGAAAAACGATCAGTTTTCATATATGGTTCAATCTTATTTAGGAAGCTTTGTTCTCTGTCAGTTTCACTACTGGAATGAAAATAATCTATCACTCGGAGAAAACTTTACCATTTTAGTGGTATGTCAAAAAAAGCTTATCAATAATGTGCTGTGGCTACAAGTTGAACATCTTGAATTACGCACAATGTTCAACAAGCTTATCTAGGCCCGTCCATGAATATAACCTTATGTTACTGGATAACATAGATCCTGTGAAAGATTAAGGTCAGAGTTCAGGCAGGTTTTCTCAGGTTTCTCCTTAACAAATGGAAAAGACATCATGCTTTTACGCATATATAATAGGAAAGAAAGGAGAAAATTTGAATCCTATTCGGTCTAGCCTAACCAACAGAATTTCATTCCGAATTGTTTTATTGAGATTTTCATGACTTACGAGGAAACGTTTTCGCATGATATATATGGTATTGATAGAAGATAGTGTCCTAGTAAAAAGCCTAAAAGGATTTTTGCTTAGGGATCTTCTTTCAAAAATTATGAATCTGTTTTGTTTCCATGCTCGGATACCACAGTTACACTAAAAATATCATAACTCCTAAAAAGCAGGGTTCCGCATAAAACTGATAATCGGCTCCCTTTTTTTTGTCTGAAAATGATTCTGCGAGTAGTAGAAACGTATTATTGGTCGGTTTTAAGTCACTTTGCGTACTTTTGGTAACTAAAATCCGGAT